CTCTGCCTTCAAGCCTCCAAACCCCAGCTACGCTGTTCCGCATGGCCACAGCGACTGCTCCTGGCCGACCAGGACCCGACAGCCTGCGCTTCGGCATTGTGGAGGGAGGAGACGCACGAGGCATGTTTGTCATGCAGCGCTCAGACCGCCAGACTGGTGAGCTGATCCTCGTCCAGCCGCTGCTCGGGCCACAGGAGCTCAGCGTGGACGTGGAAATGGCTGAGTACTTGGATCGCACCTTCCAGGCCAAACACCTCGCCCGGGTCCATGTGCTCATCTCTCCCTATAAATTCTGATGAAGGAGAAGTTCCTTAGGCGAGCTCTTGACCTTTCAGTTCTGTTTTGAAACTGGTATTATGGTGAAATTAGCTTTTTCTAAACTGAAGCATTATGGCAAAAATGATTAATCTTTGTAAATATTAAACACTTTACTTTCAACTGGCTTTAAAAACCAAGCAGTAAAACTTAAATATGTCTTCCTACAAAGTCTCCGCTCTCAATAATCTTTTTTTTGTTTGTTTTTTAGCTATCTGTGTATCAGATTCTTTTGTATTTTTATATTTTTCGTAGTTTTTCTCAGAATAATTTGGAACCTTGATTATGCCTGTTTTTTTTTTAAAATAATACAAAGTAACACATAAACAGACCAATGTGAACCTACTTGATTTATTTATGTACTGTATATAGGCCTTTCAGCAAAACAGCTCTTGTGTGAATTAAACAGAGAACAAAAATATTTCCTGGATGAAATGATTCTTTTATTTACTTCACAAATCCTGATTAAGTGGTTAAGCGACTGGACATGTAATATATTCATAACTACGTTTTTTCGTATCTGTGCGTAATAAGCCGGGTATCTTTAAATAAAACTCTGCTTCTTTCACGGATATTCTTCACGAAGAATGCCAGGATCAACATTGGCCAGAAAAATGAAAGAATATACTTCAGTGTGTTTTGTAATGATCTATTTTGAGAAGTATAGAAAAGGAAGGTTATCCAGCTTGCTGTCTCTCTCACCCATTCTCTAGTAATATGAGAAGATCAAAGGGACCACACATTTCAGGAAGCATGTTTGACCAATCGTCAGACCTCAGCTGCATAATCATTAGTAATGACATCTTTGAGACTCTCTGTTTGATGTACACATGTTTTTAAATCTTATGTTGCAGGGTTGGGGGTTCGAATCCCGCCTCCGCCCTGTGTGCATGGAGTTTGCATGTTCTCCCCGTGCTTAGGGGGTTTCCTCTGGGTACTCCGGTTTCCTCCCCCTGTCCAAAGACATGTGTTGTAGGCTGATTGGCATTTCCAAATTGTCCATAGTGTGCGTGTGTGTGTGTGTGTGTGTGTGTGTGTGTGTGTGTGTGTGATTGGTTGGCACCCCATCTAGGGTGTCCCCTGCTTTGTGCCTCGAGTCCCCTGGGATAGGCTCCAGGCTCCCTGCTACCCTGTGTAGGATAAGGGATATAGAAAATGGATGGATGGATGGATGGATATTGCAGGGTTTGTGTCCCACACAGTCAGGGTCTGTCACTAGGTAGAAATATTAAATGCATTAGAATTCCCATGAGCCATGGCTTTAAGGAAAATGAGCAAAGGGCTGCAACGTGACCACTGCTCTTATTAATGCACATTGCTCTCAAACATATAGTAAATATGCCTGATGATGTTGATTTTGTTCAAATTGTTAAAACCAGTGGTAGCTCATCGATGGGGAAGTTGGGGCCGTTCGTCCTCAACCATATCAGCTGTTCAATAAATATTAATCTTCATAAAGTTCTCGTTCATGTTAAATCCTGTTGAAATACTAATGAGCTCTTTTGAGTGACCAACGATTTAAAGAATGTGGTTATTGAACGGATATAACCTAGTTTTCCTTGGATTTGCAGGAATCACTCTGCCCCATGCTCGCTCTATGAACATTTTCACTGAGGGAGGAGCAGCAGACAGGACAGTTTTGCCAGATTTCCCTAGTTTAAAAATACTCTGTGACTAACAAGAACCAACAAGATCTTGGTTTATAGCAAGTAATCTGAATCTAATGCAATTCTGCAAAATATCAAAGTATATTGCGACGACTGGGAGTGGGATGGGGGGATTATGGAGTGAATATCATCAGTACATCAGAAATATGTGTGAAATACTTGTGTCCCATGCAAGAAACGTGTTTCCTTTTTCCAATGCCCGATTTTTTGGGCTAGTTTCAGGTCTTTTGTGTGGGTTTTGAGATGTAGTTGGGCTTTTCTGAAACTTGTCAGCCCAGTTAATCATATTAGTTGAACAAATTCAAAAAGAGCTGAGTCACTGTATGCTGGATGACTGTATGTCATCACTCTCAACTGTCTATTATTGCGTTACTTCTTAACTTCACTAGATAGTAGCTTGTAGCAAGCGTGATAGCCAACTTAATTTTGCTTGAGGCTATGTTATTATTAATGTCATCCTGCCCCACCAAAATCTACAGTCACAAGTAGTCACTGGTTAAAAACTGAATTTTGACAAGAATTATGACAAAGTCAAATCACAAGGATTCAGATTCAAAACAAATTATGGGCAGAGTTTAACACTCAATCAAGCCCATATCTCAGGTGTAATTCAGAGCAAAAAAAAAGAAAAGAAAGAAATTACACACAGGGAGAATATATGAAACTCCACACAGACAGTAACCCAAGCTCAGGATTAAACCTGGGACACTGAAGCTGTGAGGCAGCAATGTTACCTGCTGCACCACATATATTGTCAGTTAGGGAAAAAAGAGTAAAATTAAACAAGTGTTCCATCATTTTATTTAAGGACTTACTCATTGCCTACTCTCAGATTGAAATAAGAATCTTAATTAGTGCATTATTATTAGGCAAGTGCACTTCTTTGGTGAAACAGTCACTTAAGTTAGTAAGTAAGTTACTGTAAGCGTAGGTTTGTCATAGTGTTGATATTAGTGTTATTAATTACTGTAAGACAAATAACTAGACAAAAATGTTATGTGCTACAAGTGCCTAATTACAGTAATCCAGATATGCCTTCTCTAGTAGATTTTTTTCCCCAAATAAAAGAAAAAGTCACAACTATTTCTCAGTTCACTTACATATTTCCTAGATTTTCTATTTCTAAGGAATGACCTTGAAAGTTTCTTTAGGTTTAGCCCAAACTGTAAATGCAGAGTGTTCAGAAACTTTTGGTCAACAGTGAATATATTCTGTTTTAAGGTGTCATCAGCTGTGATGATATTGTGGACTAAAGCTACAAGTAAAAATACAAACTTATACTGTAAAATATTTCCACATAAATTTATTGCTCATCTTCATTTCTGAGAATTAGGCATAATTTCTGCTTTCTCTAGTTCACACATTTCCACTAAACATAAATGCTTAAAGGGTAGATGAGAGACTACTATCCCGACAAAGTGTAGATTACACATAGGATATGTGAATCAACTTGGTCCTCACACCTGGCTGTAAATCATCAGTGGCAAGACAAGCAAGTAATGAGCTGCCAGAGGTCTCTGTTCATAACACACTCTTCAGCACCTGCGATTTACACCAACTACAAAGAGCAGGTCTGCCAAGCAGGGCAAGGGTGAAAAGGTCTCCATTTAAAGAACACAGCAGGCTAAGCATGGCCAGGACTACAGAGCATTTGGGTGAGTTCATGGAGGTAAGAGTTTATGTTCGGGTGATTCATGTCCAGTGAGGAAGCTCAGAGCACCTTAAAGTCTTTGAACAAAACCTTATTTTGCACGTGGGTTGCATTAAATCATTATTTTTCTTATAACTACATTAACTGAAGATTATCACATAATTTGTGCCACTTGGTAGGAGCCATCAAAACCTCTCCTGACTGGCATTTTTCCCATTGTTTTGGTAGGACCATTAGGCCCCCTTGTGGCTAGCATTTTCTGAACAACACAGGGAAACATGGAAACAGTAAGCACCCCTTCTGACCTGGTTTTAAGGAACATTTTATCATCTAGAAGTAATAATAATAATAAACATTACTTCATATGTTCTGCAGTTTTCCCTATAGTCAAACTATAAATCCATAACATAACTAACTGGGAATTGACACAAGTAAAAGTTAAAGTAACTCATGACGAAACTACTCAAGTACGAGTTTCTCACATGTACCTAGGAATCCTAAGTATCAGAGTATCAAAAGTAGAGAAAAAGTGGTAGGATCTTTCAATTTTGTTTTCTAAGTTTTATTTGATGATCAAAAATCTTGTGAACAAAAAGTCTAGTCCAAACAATATTGTGTTGTTATAGTAAGCCAGTTGCTGAGAGCACTGGAGTTAAGAATGCACGCTAGAAGGGACTCAGTGTACACAGCAGGGGTGTCCAAACTTTCTGCAAGGGGGCCCAGATTAGAATTCAGTAAGACTGAAGAAACAATGAGAAACTATAAAGGGTCTGCACTCTTTCTGCAATTACAACCATACCCAAGTACAGATCAGGGCTGTAACTGAACTGTGACTGCATTTCAGTGTAGCATGACTGCAATGCTCTGATGAAAGTGATGCAAATGGGAATTACATTCATTTCTGATGCAAAGTCAGCTTTAATTAAAAAAACAACAAAAAAAAAAAAAATCCTCTGCTGGTTGTTTCTCACTAACAGACAAAGCAACGTAAGAGCATGCAATGAGGGTTTTCCTTTTCGGTGTGTCCTCATGTCACAAATGAAAACCAATACACTCAATACTTCACATTTTCCCCTGGTGTGATTGCTTTTCTATCTGGCAAAGAACATATATTTTTTCACACCCCCCACTACAGTATTGTTCCCCAGCTTTGCTTAGACTAGTCCAGCACTTCTTATGACCCCCTCATTGTCATATATGAAATGAGGACATCGAAACACACTCTTTTCCTCTTTCAGCTGCTCCCGTTTGGGCTCGCCACAGTGGATCACCTGTCCACATATTTTGAAGGGTTTTTTTTTTCCCCAGGCCTGGAACCGGCACTGAGAGTGCACTGGCTTGTACAACCCTCTAGCAGCTGGGGTTGGTTCCCCGACCAGGAATCGAACCCGGACCACGGTGATGAGCGCACTGCATGGTAGCCACTAGTCCACCAGGGAACCGATGTTGAAATACACCATATTTCCAAAAGTATGTGAACACCTGACCATCACATCCATATGTGGGCCTTCTTCAAACTGTTGCCACAAAGTTAAAAGCACACAGTTGTCTAGAATGTCTTTGTATGCTGTAGCAATAAATTTTCCTTCACTGAAACTAAGAGACTAAGCCCAAACTTGTTCCAGCGTGACAATGCCCCTGCGCATAAAGTGAGGTGCATAAAGACATGGTTTGCCAAGGTTGGTCTGGAAGAACTTCAGTGGCCTGCACAGAGCCCTGACCTCAACCCCTAATGCCTATAGGATCAACTGGGATGCTGACTGCGAACCAGGCCCTTCTTGCCCAACAATAGTGTCTGACTTCACTAATAGTAGTATAGTATAGTATAGTAGAGTAGTATAATGTTATTCATGTTATAGTCCAGTTTTTGAGACTGTTTGAGACTTTAGGAAATGACTGAATGACTGTATAATCTTTATTTCTATTAGATCTGTATCATTTGACTAATCATAAGGCTGTTGATGATTTTTTATTTTTGAGATCCAGTAGAAGGTGTCACTCAGTAGCCCAAAAATGGACTAATCCCAATTTTTCCCTGACCCCTACATATATAACTGACCTACACAGAGCATGCAGTAATGAAATAGACAGTAAATGTTCACTGGAAGGCCAGATGATGGTAGTAAATAGTAGAAGGAAGCAGGACAGGACGCCATCACTGGCTGCTTGTGGACACAGCCTCTCTAATACACTACACTGCAATCCCAAGCAGAGACTCAGCTATGGCCTGTGCTGCTTTGTGGTGGAAGATGAGCTCCACTGCCCTGGATAAGATGCTCTGCTCCTTTCTTTTATCCTGCTTTTTATTCATGTCGATCATCAGTGGTGTTTATAGCGCTCCAGAGACAGGATATTGGACTATTACAGTGGTCAATGTAAGTGGACACATCACCATTGAGGGAGTGTAGTGTGTGACCTGAGTCGTGTATTCAGGCCGGTGAACAGGACATGCTAACTAACTAACTAATTAGCCAAACAGACATTTTTCCTAGCAGTTTATTTCATTTAAAATTAAATATAGTCGCATTATATTAGCTTGTGTAATTCATTTCCATTCACCAAAAACTAGCTTTCCAAATGCTTAGCTTATTAGCTGGTCAGCTAACTCGCAAGCTGATGTGGCATTAAGTCATGGCTAATACGAGGTCCTAAGCTTTAGTTTAGTGCAGTAAAAGACAGCTGTTATGCGACTCATAAACAGCATGAACACGAAAACATTACTAAACACATAGCCACACTGCTAAGTACTGCTAAAGCACCGCTAAGCTAACTAATCTGTCAGCTAGGCTCTAGCTAATGGAGCTAGCCAGTTTACTTAGCTAGATAGCTGTCTATTTCAGCTAACAGTCAGGAATTAGCCTAGCCACAAGTATGAGAAGAGAGGAGTGGTTTTCGTTGTACAAATTCATTCTCGTTTTTCGGTCTTATTTTTATTTCTTGACTTTTGTTTACATTTGAGTGTTTGTTATTAAATATTTAAAGGCAGTCCTAGTGTTTCCAGTTGATATCTAATGTCTGAAAGGTGATGCTGTGTCTCAGTAATGGGACTGGAAACTACAGAAAGCAGCACAGCTAATTTTTTAGCTCAGTTTTTGTTTTTGTTTTTCCTATATTGCCACTAATTGGCTATTTTATCATTTTTAATCATACCATAAAGCTGCACTTCACTCACAATAGCTGTTTCTAGACTATCTATATTATATTATTACTACTATGCACAGTTTCTGTAGTATGTGTGGTACTAGTGTATCAGACACAGCAGCTTTGCTTGTATTTGAACTGCAAACAGTCCACCAATGCACAAATTCAGCAGGAAACTGAGCACTGATGCTTAACACATTATGCATGGGAGGGAAAAAAAAAAAAAAAAAAAAGGAGCTGGTGTGTCCAGTATCGCTTTTCCACTGAATACGCTCACACATGTGAACGCAGAGCCATCCAGAGCCTGGTCCATCAAATAAGAAGGTGTTGTGAAGGTTGTGGAGTGTTGGCTAGTGATTACCACAAATAGTAAAATACTACTCAAAATTCACAAAAGTTTAAAAAAAAAATACAAAATGGAAAAACAGGCACCTCTCATTTTACTTTAATGTGCTTGGTGCAGTTGTGTCTCCCTCACAGGGGGAAACTGTTGAGCATGAGACACAGCAAGGCGGTGATCAACCCAAACCAAGCCAAAATGATCATCTTTTAGTAGTCAGAAGTTTGAGGCAAAGCTTTGAGGTGAAACTTTGAGTCAAAAGACTACTAACTAGTGAAGTACATTTGGATCCGACCATTGGATTTGACCAATCAATCATCTGCATTATTTCTGGGTTCCTGGAGGACTAGTGGTTAGGTCTTGGCGCTCTCACTGCCATGGCCCGGGTTCGATTCCCGGCCAGGGAACCGACCCCAGCCACTGGAGGTGCACACGGTAGTGCACTCCCAGTGCAGGTCCCAAGCCCGGATAAAAAGGGTTAGTTGATTGGGGAGGGCTACGTCAGGAAGGGCATCTGGCAAAAACTGTGCCAAGTCAAATATGCAGACCAATGATCTGCTGTGGCGACCCCTAACGGGAGCAGCTGAAAGAACAACAACAATCGTCTGCATTATTTCTAGCTCCAGTCACTGTTTGAGGTGCTTGGTACTGAGGCAGGAAGGCTAACTAAATTCAGCATGAGTTCTTATGCCTGCTTAGCGTGTGGCTCATAAGGCAATGGATACAATGAGAAAATATGGGGTAAGAGGTAATTTACTGTTAAAATCACTGAGACTGTAAACTTACAAAAGATATCAGGTATGTTTACATTTAGGGTCAGTATAGGCATGCCTCACAAAATGACAAAAGGCTGTATATTTTTGTGTTGATACTGTGTCACAATGTGAGTGGTGTTATGACTATGATTAATGACCTCTATGGATTTTTTTTGGACAGACATCAAGACCTTTGTTATTAAAAAAGTCCATGTACAAGGACACTGACATCCAGTTAAGAGGTAGGGACAAATAATTCAGTACAAATAATATTATCAGCCATGTGGCTTTTTATACACACTGCATATTAACTGTTGACTGACTGTAACACAATGACAGGTCACTAATATAACGTTTTCTCCGTTGCAGTCTCTTCCTTTAACTGTCCAGCAGAGGTCTCGTTTGGTATTAGGTGGTATTTAAAGTTCTACCCTTGTCACAACGAATTCAGTAACATAGAGGTGAGTGGTGTTCGTGCATGTTATGACGCCGTGTATGTATGAATCAGATTGTTCATGTTAAAGTTTCCATTGTGTTTTTTTACCACCAGGAAATGTATGACAGGACACCACTGAGTAGAGGAGAGGGTCTAGATCCCAATCCTCTTGCACCAGGAGAGTACATCGAACACAAGTACAGAATATTAACCTGCAACAACGGGATCCAGGTTTTCCCCATGCTAAATGTATGTAAAACAGACTTCATTTCATATCATAGTGGCTAAAACATTGCCTCAGCTTTTAAAATAGTAGCAATTTAGAAGATCTTAGTCAGGCTTCATTTTATTTTCTTGGGCTCAGGGCATGGACACTGAGTAGATTGTGTGATTTTTTTATTTTTTTATTTATGAAATTACATAAAGTTTTTATCCAGCAGAGAAGTAGCATGGCATGCAAACCCCTGCTGATCTAGCCCAGTGAGTGTAGACCAAGGCAGGAAGAGAGTGTCATACACATTAGTACACACATTCGTACACACTTTACTACATACACTATATGGCCAAAAGTATGTGGACACCTGACCATCACACCCATATGTGCTTGCTGAACATCCCATTCCACATTTAGTTCCCTTTTGCTGTTATAATAAGCTCCACTCTTCTGGGAAGGCTTTCCACTAGATTTTGGAGTGTGGCTGTGGGGATTTGTGCTCATTCAGCCACAAGAGCATTAGGCACTGATGTTGGTGAGGAGGTCTGGGGCTCAGTCAGGGTTCCAGTTCATCCCAAACGTGTTCAGTGGGGTTGAGGTCAGGGCTCTGTGCAGGACACTCAAGTTCTTCCGCTCCAACCTTGGCAAACCATGACTTCATGGAGCTCGCTTTGTGCACAGGGGCATCGTCATGCTGGAACATCTTGGGCCCCTTACTGTAGTTCCATTGAAGGGAAGTCTTAATGCTACAGTATACAAAGACATTCTATACAATTGTGTGCTTCCAAATTTGTGGCAGAACTTTAGGGAAGGCCCACATACGGGTGTGACGGTCAGATGTCCACAAACCTTTGGCCATATAGTGTACTTTTCAGAGCTCCTGTTGTTTTGCTCAGTAGCACTATTTGGACTACTGTATTTCTTTAATTTAACATTTCTGTAATGTCAAAATGTCTTCCCTGTTCTCTAAATGTGCTTTTATATTATCTGCAGAAATCCCAAGCAGAGCCAAGAACAGTGGAACCACCACAAGAGGATTTATTTCATGTAAGACTGTATAGGCCTGTATAATGGAGGTTTGCCTTATTATGATACTCACAAAATGTGCTTATATTGGTCACTTTTTTGTGTTAATTTTGTTAGGGTGCCAATTACACCAGGTGGCTTACAGAGGAAGCTGTAGTTCAACCAGGTAAAAAGGTAAAGTTCATGTTTCTTTATGTCTGCAAAAAAAAAAAAAGCTGATGTCTGCAAAAAATGAGGGTATAAAGCAGTTTTATGAACAGCACATCCTTCTCTCAAAAGGATCACGTCATTGCTACAACATGGAGAGATGGACCATATCTACTTGTGGTGTTGATCGAGACTGATAAAAAGGATGTCAACTGGAATTTAACCTGTAAGCCTCACGGCGTATTTATTATTTATTTAAGACTTTAGATTTCCTATAAACACATATATTGGAACTTTAACTTATAGTAACGTTGCTACTATTGAATTACTAATTACAATAATAATGTCTTTTTTTTACTTTGTTACAGTCACTGTGATAA